AAGAAGTGCCGCCGTGGGCTGGTCCAGTAGCCAACCAGCAGGCACATTGGGTGGTTGTCAAAATTATGGTCCCCCTTTTGGGTACCCTAAATATTAGGTGCCGTATTATAATAGGGACCCAAAAAGTGACCATAATTTTGACAACCACCCATATATATATATATACATACAGTAGGGCTCGCATGAGGTGCTTCAGCTTTATAGTCTTCGGGTTTAAGAGTTGGGGGCTGCCTATAAAAAGTATGCTCCTTTTGTAGAGAGGGGCAGAGCCACTACACCGGAAGCGATTGCCTGGGGGCACGTCTGTGACAGCATAGCCCCACATAATTCAGCTGAAAGTAAATGTTGATATCAGAATTGCGGGGATCGGGGGCTTTTCCCTTAAATCCTAGACCTTGGGTACTGCCCCCCCTCATCAACAGTCTATATTAGGGGTCCCATTAAGGGCTATATATAACCATAGTATACTTATTATCCAACTGTTACTGAGGGGGGCAGTACCCAACCTAGACCCTAAATTGTTGGGTCATTACGAGTTCCCCAACCACCCAAGTCCAATGGCCATGAGTCACCTTCATAACCCTAAACCCTAAACCAAATTCAGCTGGAATCCAGGCGGGATGGTTATCAATGGTTTTAGGCTTTTACCCCTAGAGTTGTGCCCTGTGTTTTGATATCTTCTAAAGGGACCCTAGGGGACTGCATTAGCTGGCATATGGGCTTTACTAAGGCCAGACTGGGGAAACTGTTTAGGGGTACGACCTGAGGAGAACAACCCAGAAACGCCTGAGGTTAGCCGACCCAGGAGCCCTAAACCCTAGTCCCTTCGTTTCAGACCCTGAACCCTAAATCCTAAACCCTAAACCCTCAGGGTTTGTACCCATGGGTTTGGATCCCTAGGCCACGGGGTCTAGCCCCTAGTTTGGGAACTTGGGACCCAGAATCAAGGTTAGAAGCCTTCATCGTACAAACTTACACTCTTTACAGCACCCCAAATACCTACAGCTTAGTAATTGCCCGGAATAGGTGCAACCCGTAAACCTGTAGGTAACTAGGGTTACAGGTAAACCTGGGTTGGAGGACGTTTTGGCGCACCCTTGGCCTCCTCATCGCCCTCATCGCCCGCGACAGTTATCACCTGAATATTGCAGCACTTGAAGGTTTGGGGGTGTGGGGATTCAAGAAAACCATTTAGGGTTTAGGGTTCGGTGTTCAGGGTCTAGGGCTTAGGGTATTTAAGACTTGGGGTTTACGGCCTAAATACCTGGAATAATGGAGAACCCAAATCGAGAATCACATGGAAAACCAGTTGGAAAATGAAATGAAAATCAAATAGAAAAAGAAATGCAAACAGGGATCGTACTGGGGTATATAACGATTGCAGTTGAGTCGCAGGGAAAACCACATGGAAAATCAAATGGAAAACGATTTTCAAAATCACTCGGAAAATGCAATGCAGCCTAATCGTATTGGGCTTATAAGGATTGCAATGTAGAGGCCGAAGCAACTTGGTGGTTAGACTAGGTTGGCGGGGTATATTACACAACGTTTATGCAAGGATTAGAAGGAATAGTTTAGGTGGACCCCCACCCTGCAATATTGCAATAGGAATATCACAGGACCCTGATATGATTCCTATTATCCGTTATAGTCAATATTACTGGGTGGAGGGTCCACCTAATGAATAATGTTGGTACTGCTTCAGGCTGCTACTGTACAGTCATTTGTTGGAAGCCTTCCTCTGCAAGCTTTGCCATAAATGCGGTACAAAGGCTAGAGAAAAACTCTGGGGGAGCTTCCAAAATTACGGTAGCATTTCGAGGGGTAGCCTTCCGCATGCTAAGGACCATGCATAATAAAGTCTCTCCCTGCAGATGGCGGTCCCAAATGGCCATATAATGGTCTCCGTTTGTGGCTGTCTCCCTAACTCCCAACGGTCCCCATTTTATAGAACAACCTCCATGTGGAAACTCCCAGCACTCCTACTAACAGGAAATGGGGACATGGAGACAACCCCTGACTTTGACAGGACTGTCTGCGGACAACCAAATGTGCACTTGCGGCTTTGGGCTAAGGGTCTAGGGCTCAGGATAGAGGGATTACGGCTTAGCTTAAAGCTTAGGATTTAGGGTTTAGGGCTTAGGGCTCAGGGTTTAGGAGTTTAGGGCTGAAGGCTTACAGTTTAGAGACTTGGAACAGGCACACTTCACAACCGCACACATCACAAGCCTGTCAAGAATACTTGGGTTCCCCCATCAGCCCCCTCTATACAACCCCTCCCCCCCCCCCCGTTCCCTCTTTAGGGTTTAGGGTTAATTACTATTACTTAGGGTTTGGGTGGTGTCATTTTGAGCTTAAAGGTTTGAAACTTTGAGATTAAGGAAATTTGAGAACCCTAAGCAATGACAAGTTTTCATAGGCCTGAGGGTTTAGGGTTTAGGGCCTTAACTCCTTAACCAGCCCTAGTCGTCCCTCAAGAACCGTCAAGGGGGAGGTAGTATAGGAGGGGTAGGGGAACCTGTGAATAATGTGCATAATGTTGGGAACAATGAACAGGAAGATTGACAAGAGAAACGCCTCCCCCCAGCAGCAATTAGGGCACACAAACCTTGCAAGGAACGTCCAAGATGGTAATTCTTAAATGGGAACAGGTTTAAGGGTTTGGGGTTCAGGGTTTAGGGCCGAAACCCTACACCCGGAACCCTAAACCTTTGGGAATCCCTGTTCAAAGAAAACCTCTCACATGCAGCCTTCTCCGCAACGAGCTGGGTGAGTGTTGAGGCCATGTCGAGCATCCTAGGAGTTCCATGGTAGAGGGTTCAGGGTACCCTAAACCCCAATCCTGAAACCCTAATGCTTCAGGGCTCATGGTATAGGGTTTAGGGTACCCTAAACCCTAAAACCTAATCCCTAATCCTTAAGTGTTGGGGGTGTAGGGCTTAGATTTGTTTAGGGTTTAGGGTTTCAGCCATAGGGATGCGACCTCCCTACCCTCGTCCAACCTGACATGGAAACTGAAGAAAGGCGCTAAAACGTGTTTGAAACGGGGAGGCTAAGCGGGGACCCCATTTTTGACCCCCGAAATACGATGGTCCTGATTATAGGACCCACAAAAAAATACCTGGGTGAAAAGAAGAAACCCTCTTCAAACCCAGTTTCTCATGATGCTCAGACCACGTCCTGACAAATCCTGGGGAATCCGATCCTTCCACACCCTAATCGCCACAGAGGATGCTTCTATGAAACTGACGATCAGATGAACCCACAAACCTTATAAGTACTGTTGACACTACAATCACGCATGACCCCGACCCCGATGGAATAGTGGTATTCAAGTATACTAAAGACATGCGGGGGATGTTTTGCATCAAACGTGTTTCCACGCTGCGCAACAAGTCTCCTCTCATTTTCAATCCAGTGAGCGGAAGCCATGCGGTTTAGGGTTCACAGTCTAGGGTCTAGGCGAAAGGGCTCCTCACAAAGGGGTATGATGGGGTCATGTTAGGGGGCATGAGTGGTGGTCTCACATATTGTCCACGTCCAGACACCTCATAATTCAGCCAGAATATAATAATGCGCATTAAGAATCTTGGCAGCAACAGCAACGTAATCATCCACAAATAATAAGAACAAAATACATCCCAAGAGCAATAACAATAGCCAAATTAACAATCCCTAGAGCTCCCAGCTACCTAAATAGTAGGGTTACTGGGCTATGTAACTATAAGGGCTGAAATCTTTGCATGGCAGAACCAATGACAGATGAAGATAACACAAGCATTTTGGGGGTCCGCACTACAGACTCAGAAAGCTTTGTTGAGAAACTCCACCAATATGATAACTGCATAGCCGCATTTCTATAGAAAAACACAACCCCCTATTGACACTGGACCCGACGGTCCAAAATCCCAACCCTGCGAAACTGCCACACCGAACCCAAACCGACAACCCTTCATGTCAAAAAGAATCCACTCCGTGGTACAGGAAGCAATTTGGGTGGTCGCCTGTGATGTCTCACAGTTGGTGGGATTTGGAAGAAAGGCCCAGCTTCGATGGCTTCTTGGGCAACATCCACGAGATTCGCTGGGCGCAGGATGTGCCGCCACCCACAGATCCCTGGAAGTGGGGTGGCGCCGTCGGCGCATGCATACTCAGCCCTACGCAGGTAGACGCCCTATACCCTAAACCCTAAACCCTAAATCCTAAACCCTAAACCCTAAACCCTCTCTCTCCTGCGGACTCAGTTGCCTGTCAGCCGCAAGGCTCGTTCTCCGAACAGAGCCAATAGCGAAATCTTGCATGGACTGTACACAAGTTACACACATATAGAATCACCTCGAAAGACGATTGCTCCGAAGCTACAAGACAAACCGGCTAGCCACCTTCTGCGTTCAACCTCAGCTCCCGATCCAACAAAGCTTGCTTACGATCACGCCGACGTTGGATTTTCAAGGCTTGCCGTTCTCGCTTATGTGCTTCCATTTGGTCCTGGACACTTGCCGGGAAGACCGGAGGCAGCTGTACCATATCGGGTTCAACAACTATACCGGGAGAGGAAATGGATGAAGCACTGGCGCAAAGCAAGACTTGGTGCGAAGTTGGCGTAGCGGAATGATCTTCAGATCGTGTCTCTGAACAGGTGGAGGCTA